CGAGCTACCCTCCGTCCCTCCCGCTCGTTTTCCGCCCTCTATTTCTGCCACCCACTTGTCGGTCGTCTCCGTTCCTTACGTACTAGTGCTTCACGGCTTGACTCGGTGGCACTCATTATCTTGATTAATTGACCGATGGCCTCCTCCTCCTCCTCCTCGTTCCACCTCCGGCATCGGTTCTACCTCCCCCTGCACCGCAAACCGTGCCCCCCTCCTTCTTCTTCTGGTCTATTTTTCTTATATCATCTATCAAGTGTTTTCGTCTATTTTCCCGCGACGTTTTCGATAATGGTTATGAGAGATATCGCGTTTCCGTCTTCAAAAAATTAAACTGTCTACAGCGCGACGTAATAGAATCTAATGGATTAATATGTACGCGTGTGAAGTTTCGGCAGGCCCGCGCATCGTTGAGATATCGATTTCGCCGCGGGGTGGAAAGTTCAAGCGAGAGACGATGACGACGACAACGACGACGACGAATCGCAATTCCGAACGAAGAAATCGATGATGAATATCGCGAGGAGGCGCGCGACAACTCGTTACCGCGGGATCGTTATTTTATTATTAACGTTCTCGCCAACGCTAAACAAAAGCGCAGGAAAACTTCGACCGCGTCCCTTCTTCTTGTTCTTCTTCGACATCCTCCCGGCTTCTGTCCTCCCACCCCCCCTCCCCCCGTTAGTCCCCTCGCGCGGATGATTCAGCCCCCGCGTCGGTCGGTCGCAGCAACAAAGGGGCAGCCAGGTATCGGACGAGTCTTAATTTAAAGTTAAAATTAATTTCTCTCTCCCGAGCTAGTCGCGGTAAGAAACGAGGTTTCGCGTTTGCCGGCCTTTCCTCCGACTCACGTTATTCTCACTCTCATGCGCGAAATCGACTGTCTGATAAGAGTTCTTGTGTATAAAAAAATAAATTTGAGAAATTTATTGCAAAAGTCCAATTTAAATGTCTCACAACCGCATCATCTCGCTCTCAATTCTTTCAAAATGACATATTACGTCACACCTTGAAGCTTCGAGATTAATAAACAAATAAATCGCGCGTCATGAAGATGCCTGATTAAAAGAAATGCCTTGATTAGCGCGGCAACTCATCTCGAAAATATTTACGTTTCACAATTGAAAGGAGAAAAAGAGAGACGGAGAAAGCAAAGCAACTCAAATTAAGAGACTCAAAGGAACTCGACATAATTAAATCGCGATAATGACGCAAAGAATATCGCCGGGCTGCAAGCTCTCCTCCCTTCTGTTCGTGGGCCAACAAACCCTTCGGCCGCTCGCCCCGGCTCTGGTTCGCTGATTATTTCGTCGAGTGCTTTGATATTCAAGAAACCAGGAGCCCCGCAAGTTTCTATAATTATCGGAGGGCGTCTTTAAGGTGTCTTTTTCCTCTTCGACGCCACGCCGTAAACGACATTCATTTTTCCCGTTCCGCTCTGACAAACTCGAGTAATTAATCGGCTACTTGTTTCAACTAATCGGCCGAGTGCGTGTCTTGCGATAAATAATTAGTTAATTATACTAATTTCCGCAAATCTCTAAAGAAAATATTATCACAGTAATAAAGTTAATTAAAATAGATTTAAACAATAAAAAACAAAATACTAAAAAAAAATCATATTGCTCTTCAAATGCGCACGATTAAATACTACAAAGCGTATTCGATTTCGCTCACAATGATTCGTTCGCGAACGATTCCTAAACCGTCGTTAACAATTGTCGATCAAGCAGACACAAGTGCCATTCGATTTTACGGAGGAGTCAATCGCTAAACGTATATAAGGCGTATAAGTGAGTTCGAACAAAAGAGAGGGAGAGGGAGCGAGATTTTCGAGCGAGAGAAAGTACAAAACCCCATGCATACAAATGGTATGCTAACAAGATACATTTGTCTACAGTGGTGTATATCCCATCGTTACTAAGTGCGTACGAGACGCGATGGTGTTGGTGAACTCGACACCACCCCCGCGAGCTGTGACGCGCAACTCCCCGGATCTTTTCCTCCCGATAAGCAGATTTATAGATCGATTATAGACTTCGCTTATGATTGGAACCATTTGCATGATGTAGGTATATACAGTCGGTAGTCTCTCCTGCAAGCTTCCCCCCCGTTCTGCATCTTCTATCTCCTTTCCCCCTTTTTCTCTGTTGCTCTCTCGCGTCGTCGCCGCCGCTCTTCAGCCACCATGAATCATCCGTGCCAACTGCTCTCTTATGGTTTCACGCGATAAACGTTTGATGCGCGGTGAGCGATGCGTGTAACGCGGTTGTTTGCATATTCTTCGTTTCACTCGACTCCTTATCCCGCGCACAAAACGCCAACTCGCATCGTCGTGATCATCTCTCGGTGTACTGCCTGCATCCTCCCCGCCTACATTCCCGCGCAAGTCTTAACCGTCTCATTGATAGGATATGTAAATTCGATGTCCCGCAGTAAATCGACTTCGTTCTCACATTTTTGAGCGCAAATTAAAATTTCCGAATTTTCTCGAAGGCTTCACACTCGAAACGTATACTCGGTTTTTTTTTTATTTTCGTATATTTACAAACTTAATTTTAATTCTTCATCTACACTTTACTATTTAACTATCCTTATTTTTATCTCTCCACTTTCTGCATAAACACGATGCAGAATCACGAACGGTTATAAATTTTTAATAGTTGAAAAAAGATGTTAAAGGATATTCCTACGTGCCGTATTTTATGATCGACTCAAGGCATATGCGCGCACACGTCTCTGTGTATATGTGACACCTAAATTATACCAGCTTTTTAATTCTCGCGTATTTATAATTAAATTTTAATATTTAACCTATACTTTGCTATGCAAATCTATACTTTTATTAAATTTCTATATGCGGTAACAATAAGTTACTAATTGATTTTCTTACTTTATTGCAAATATATGTAAAATTTAAATAATGGCTCGAATAAATAACTCCTATAAATCCCTGCATGCCGTGAACTTGTAAATCGGCAAGTGAATTAAATTGTACAAGCAAGAATTTATAATTATTCGCGGAGCTTGCTGAGAGATCTCGTGGTCTGTGAGTGGCATTCGTCGGGCAAACCCGTAAGAAGGGCTGGCATTGGAAAGGGGCGACCGACGACAGGAAAGACGAAACCCCGTCTCGGGGTGCCTCACTCGTGATTGATTAACTACTTTTTTTTTCTCCTCCCCCAACGACGACGATGAGAAACGTAATTATAATTTTTATTCATTACCGGCGCAGCGACGTCGTCAACGGACGGAGATCGCTCCGTTTGATTTCCCATTTAGAGGCACTCGCTTGCGGTTTCGAGATACGATTCTTTCCGGCGCGGCGGACCTTCTCGCTCGCGGTGATCAATATTCATTTGCAGGCCGCAGAGGGTGCTGCTATAAGGGATTAGCTGTCTACGAGACGCGCTAATCAGCGCGATATCGCGTGTCCTTTCTCTTAAATTCACTCAGCCCGATGCGAGAATAAGGAAGTACATATCTCGTGTATCAAACGTGACAGAACATGAATTCTTAAAAATATTAAATAGACGTGTCAAAGTCGGTTAACTCGGAATAGTATTAAATATTTTTAAAAAGTATTATAATAAATGTAAAATAAAATAAATCACAACTCTAATCATTAAAATTATTGATCAGACTGTAATGCATGTTTCCATTTTCAGCGACGTCGAATAATTGAATTACAGTAATTCAATTTCTAACGTAATTTTAATGAACGCAACTGATGAAGTAACTGGCATCGGCTATTAGAAACAATAAATGACGATACCGTCCTTTCCATCCTGCCGGCCATTGATCACCATTCAAGGAGCTGTTCGCCCCTTCCGTCTCGCTCTTTCCTACTTTTTCCTCGTCCTCTCTTATCTTTCGTAGACTCTCCACTCGACACGGCATCCATTTATCTTGTAATTAGTTCCGATCGTCTTGCTCCCTTATATCACACGCGCGCGAGCTTCGTGCCCGAGCAGAGCACGAGCGAGATATGATAAACCGCGCATCGGCAAGTAGACTCGCTAGCTTCGCTCACGAAAACACATTATGATTATTTTCTTTCTTTTAAATTAATCTCTCGACGAAGCGCACGCGTTGCTACGAGCACGTTGACGTTTCGCCGGCAATAATGTAAATCGTTTTCATTCGCTTAAGCTGTAGTTGTGATGGTAGCGGATCGCGGGATGACGTGCCGTCCGCAACGATTCGCCAACAACGATGATTCCAGCCGACACGAGCAATAATTTTAAACTGAATCGAACCCCCGAGACATCCGGGAGTGGCTTATTTGCATACCGACCTGAAAATCCCGCACCCTCTGCCATTCGAAGTCATCCACTCGACATAAGGTGGCCCCGTGCCGCTTGCTCGCTCGCTCGCTCGCTCGCACGCGCGTGTACACACACGCACACTCACGCACACCGTGCCTGTACGTCGCTCACCCTCCTCACCGATCGTTTAGCACTTTGGCGTAATTTTTTCTACCCCCCGGTATTTGCATAGCCGCGAGAGAAGCCCCATCGAAGGAAGAGAAGCCGAGGGCGTCGCGATAAAAATCGATGTCGTCTAATCGAACCAAAACACTCGGCCCTCATTATTTTTGTATTCCAGGTCGAGCTCTAGCCTCTTAGCGAGAGAGAGAGAGAAAACTTCGTCGAACGTATCGAATTCGATGTAAGAGCTGATATCCATTCGAGGAAACATGCCAGCAAATCATTATGAGTATGCATTAAAAATAAGAATCATTTATTATTCCGACCGAATTAATAGCTGAATTAATAGCTTCATAAATCTCGCGCGAGTCGTCAGATATTATCTTATCAACATTCGTATTATGCATGTATCAATTGAGAAAAAATATTATGGTGATTATTTGAAAATGCAATAATAAATAATTTTAATAAATAAAAAGATATAGCTCCACACATAAGACAATTCTCATATCAAACTAATCCCTCCACCATTACTGAAAAAGAGTTTCATATTTTTTGCAATAAACTACTTACCATAATGTTGCTCCGACGTTGTCCGATGCTCTTTGAGCTTCCTGCTTTTTCATGGCACTCACACGCGTTCGAATATAAAAATCGCATCCCGAATATAAAAATCGCAATCGTAATTTTAAACGGCACTCCCGACGTCGCAGGCGAATCGAACCGAATTGTCCTGCGACGTTACACGCAACTCCCGTCATTAACGTCACTCGAAACGCGCATTTTAATGTATATTACCACAGAACGAAATTACGGCGAGGCGAATATAATGATTCACTATCATCGAAGTAATCCGGAAGTTTATCTGCAAAACAAAAATACAATTACATTGCAATAGCGGTCAAAACAGGATTATGGAAAATAATAATTATTATTATTATTAAGCTTATTGTAATTTTTGCTGATTTTATTTGTAACTTCTTATTAAACAATAATTCCAAATAATTACTAATATTTTACCTTTTTATTTCCTTTCTTTTAAAAAGTAAAATAAAAATATTGTGGAGAGAATTACTAATGAAAAGAATGCAAAATGAGAATCAAACAGTTTTGAATGCGTGATGACGAGCCAAAGCATTTTTTTCACTCATATAATTTTGCGGTCTCTTTTTCAACACTCTGCGCATTCATTATACAATCGTGGCGCGTAGTAAAATGAATACCGCACCGGGCGGACGACAAAAATATTTCCCTCGCTAAGAAAAGGTGTGAAGAGGAACAGCGTTACTGCGTTTAAGCGATAATGCAAGGTCTATCCTGTTCCACACGAGGCCATAAGAGGTGCACAGAGCGCCGAAGAAAGTTCTCGCCCAGTATCGATAGGGTATCCCCGGGGCTGCCGTGGTTTACTACGAGCATTACTTCGAGGATAACACCCCGGAATAAAAACCTTTATGACCTTACTTCACTTTCCATCCATTTTATTCCCCCCGCGCGTCGACGTCCATTTCGTACGTATATAATAACGGTGTTACCGCAACCGCGAGTACTCCCTATGCCTCCCCCTCCGGTTTGCTCCCCGCGTCCCTCGTCTCGTCTCTTTTTGCGAAATAATTTACGGCAGGAAAGGCGAATTATGGGACACGATCGTTTCAACTCCCGGACCATCGCTCGGTTTCCATTTACGGCCTGAGAATGCGCGGCAAGCGTTGCAAAACACTAACAGACTTTTTTTTCCTTTTTCAGATTACAACAAATTTCTCAATCTTCGCAATATATTCTTCGAATGATGTAGAACTTGCTTTAATGACAATACTATATGATTGTACATTTAAATTTTACGAGTGAAGAATCAATTTTATTTTTGTTTCGGAAATTGAAAGGACAAGTAATTTGGTATCAAAATGTTAAATAATTAATTGACAGAACATGATAGATTTCTAAAAGTAGCAAAAAAGATTTACAAACTGTACGAATATGAAAATCTTTCTATCGTTGTACGTGGAGGCATCTGCAGAGGAATGGAGCAAAGCAAGCAAATAGGACTCGGTCGATATACATTGAAGTAATTGTGCTAGTCTTCCAACGTGGTTGCGCTGTGTTACAACTATGTATATAATGAGAAAGTTACATGTACATATTATATTACAGCGCGTTAATTTCTTTTTTACAAACTCTAATAATAATTTTTAATTCGATTAATATAATTATAATCATTCGATTATAAACAGATCTAAATCATTGTACAATATAAAAAACAAGATTCTATTAAAGCGCATATTAAACGAATAAATTTGCATTTTTGTTCGAATAACTCAATTCACAAAATTAATTTCCAGCGATTATTTATAACTGTAAAAAACATGCCTCGAAACTTTGACGGAAAGTCGACTTTAATTTCTCAAAGGAAGCCATCTTTCCCGAAAATATACGCGCATTCTGAGACAAGCCGTAAATCTAAGAACGAGTCGAGAGTCCGAGTCTTGCCCGAAGCGAGAAGAGACACTTTCTCATGCGAAGTAATGGTATACATAACGCGACCGGTCGCGCGGTCTCTTTAAAAAATAAAACCGAACCCAGAGTGTTTGCGCCTCGGGAACGAGCGGAGCCGAGCGATACGACGCGACAAGTTGAGGAGGAAGAAACGAAGGGCATATGTAAAGGTGTGGAGAATGTAGTTCCCGTATATACGCTTGAGAAACGAGATAGGAAGAGAGTGGATCGGGCCGGAGTGACGGTGGTCGGTGGACCGCTCGGTGGTGCAAAGGCAGACGCCTTCCCCGGGTTTCATTAACCCCACGCATTCATAATCTCGAGTGTGTTGGACGTGCGAATATAGATTGAGATGGGAATGAGACCGTTTTTGTCCCGGCGGAATATTTGAGGCGCGCGAGGCGCCGGTCGAGTGAGGGCTCAAAGGGGTGAATCTGAAAGAGGAGGAGGAGGAGGGCTATCGTTTGCGCCGCGCGCGTCCGCTGTTTGGCGGGTAAATAGACAGTCGATTGGGGAGGTGTGCGGGCGTCCCTGCCCCCCCTGCTCCGCGGCCCCGGAAACGAATTCGAGAGACCCATTGCGAGAGGAACGCGGCCGCTTTTCGGTCTCGTCGAGTGCGCGGTTCACTCTCGAGCGCCTATCCAGCGATCTAAGCGAATTCTCCCGGATTGGATATGCACCTAATCACCGGGGTACGGACTCCCCCGAGGGTCCTCGATCTCTAGATCGCAAGATAACGCTGATTCTCGAGGACGCTTTCCGCTTCATACGTCAGTCGGCATTTCCAGTTCTTGAATTTAGTTAAGAATCTGTCGGGTTTCTAACAATCTGGCGTGTCATGCGTCATATGTATATAACGATGGAATTGAAAAATTATTCATGTCGGAATATGACAAATTGCAAATTCAGCAGAAATGCTAAAAAAAATCAACGACTACGGATTAAAAGAGCGACATACGGGATGGCGAATCCAGCCGAAATTCATGCATACCGGCAACTGGAGCACAAAGTTCACGACACGTCGGTCGTCGACTACGGAGGTAATGCGAAAGGTCGGAAGAAGGAAAACGGAGAGTACATAAATTCAAAGGAGGAGAAAAAGAGACAGGAGAGAGACGAGGATCAAAGCAGTGGTGCGTAAAGACGGAGAAGAAGGAAGGAGCCGACGAAAAATAAAGAAAGAAAACGGGAAGGGAGAGACGACAAGAACGTACGGCCGCTCTTCCATTTCTATCCTCTCCTCGACTTGCTAGTTGCATTTGCCATTGGGTAGCTCTCGCTCGCGAAACAAGAGGCGGACACGTCGACGGACGACGAAGGGTAGTCGGCGACGGAGGAGGAAGGAGAAAAGGTACGACGCGGTGGGTGGTTGATAGAGAGAGCGAATCAACCAAGCAGGAGGGGATGACGGTCGAGCGACGCCGCCGACGACGCCGACGACGACGACGACGCCGACGACGACGACGACGACGACGACGACGACGACGACGACGACGACGACGACGACGACGACGACGACGACGACGACGGCGACGACGACGACGACGACGACGACGACGACGACGACGACGACGACGACGACGGCGACGACCGGTAGGCAACGCCGGTGGTTGCCGCGAGAGGACCGACGCCACTCGGAGCAGCAACGAGAAAGCGAACGGAACGGAAAGCAGCAAGAGAGAAAGCCGAATGGAGGGCGCGACGCGCGGTGGAGGAGGAGGAGGAGAAAGCGAGAATTCCTGCCGAGGAACGAAGTGGGAAAGAGAGAAGAAGAAGCGAGAGAGCGACGCGCATACGGAAGAGACGACGAGGGACGCGGCTAGAGAGAGGGAAGGAGAAGAGAGCGCGAGAAAGAGGGGTAGGGGCGGAAGAGGGTAAGAGAGGGACCTCGGCTTGGGGTGTGCTCTGTGTGTAGCCCGGTCGATTCAGCCCCGGGCACTCGACTCCAAGCTACCTCTATCTGCCGTATTCCCTCTATTCTCTCTCTCTCCGCAAGCATCGCCACGGTGTTACCTACCGACCCGGCCCCCGCCGTCCTCACCCCCCTTCCCGCCCCCGATCACGAAGGTCCACCCGCTGCTGCTGCTGCTGCTGCTGCTGCTGCGGTCGTGACACTAGGTCCCGATACAACTTCCCCAACGACCACGTTATTTTGCCCGTACGTCTACGTACACGCACGCTGCTATCGGCGCTACCAGTTGTTACTTTCACGGCTCTCGCAACCACAAGCGGAGTTAGGAGAGGTCGGCGGGATAACGAGTTAAGAATTCACTTTTGCGTTCGCTATCGCGTCAAAACTGGCCTCTTCCGTCGACCGCAATCTCGAGACGAGGATTTAATCAGTCGGCCCTCCTCTCGACTCGCAATCGCCTTGTTTAACGATCCGGTCTGGTCTAATTTAGAATTAAATCGAGAAATCTAGACGAAAAGATCTTGGAATAATAGCTATCATTAATAAAATGCAGAGAAGCAACCGACAAGAAATTGTTTCGACTCTCTCAAAATTGTTCTCAGCTAAACTCAAACGACAAATAGAAATCTGCTATTGTCAAATGATTCTAGACGACAAAGGTCGCCATCCTTTACTCGCTGCCATCTTGAGCGATTCGGCGATTTCCGGTGGGGAGTCGCGCAAGTTTCTCAAGGATGCATCCATAGTCCTAGATTCCCTCTCGGGGGGGCAACGAACAATGGCAGTCCACCCGCAGTCAGGCGGAACCGGAGACCCGTGTCTCCCTGCGAAAGAGAGAGAAACGGTGAGAGGGGCGGTTCTCCAGGCGAGGGCGTACGACGGCGGCCGTGTTATTTGTACGCAGACGTAAAAGCAGCCACCTGTGCCACCACCGTGGTGCGCATTGGTTTCTACGTCTGTGCTGTTTGTCTGTATGTCTGATGACGTCAGCCGCCAGGCTCCACCCAAGGTGGTGGTGAGCCCCGCGCTGCCTTCGCGAATCTACCTACCTACCTACCTACCTACCTCGGTCGCCGCCGCGAGCGAGCGCGAGGTCGAGAAGAGGGTGGTCGTCACAGTCGTAGTTGTAGTCGCGGGGGCGCTTGCGCGAAATCGCCGGATCGTTTATTTGTATCTGTCATTGCCGGCTGAGAGGTGGAGTGGAGGGAGGATGCCTCTTTCGCTCTCGGAGGAGAATTCCCCCGTCTGCCCTCCTCTATCCTCCCGCCACTTCTTGCTTTCTTTTCGAGTCTTTCTCCGTGTATCTCTCTGCCCTTCCTCCTCCTCTTGCACCGTCGTCGCCATCGCATCGCGAGGGAATTCGTGGGTACCATACGCCAACTTATCGAACAGCCGACTAATTCGATTTGTCAATCGAATACAAAGTTTCTCGTCGGCGAGGGATGATGAAACGACGCGTG